ATGTGTCGCTTTTTCCTTATGCATTACTCGATTTATTTTCTTTATTATCTTTCTCTCAAGTGATTGGCTGTTGCTTGATAGCCCCGGTGAAGCTGCGCTTGATGTGCATGTTGACAAGGTGCCTACTTGTCCATTACCCACTACCTCGTCCATACTGGCTCCAAGAGACAGTTAGTCGTTGCTGGAGGGGACAGGGTGCACGATCCTTGTGGCCGTGTTAGGATCAAAGAGTGGTTCCATGCACCCAGTGTGGAGCGGACTACGGTCCAGCCACCGCCTTGTGTGCGATTGATTCCCCAAATACAGGGTGCTTGTGTTTGCCTGTGAAGGAGTGTGGGCCGGCTCCGTTGATGTAACGTGGCTCCCATCCACATGTCTCCCGGTCTTATTCCTTCGGATATGGGGTGTGTGGTTGGAGCTGTGGGTGGTGGAGCGCAAGCCACCCATGGTCCCTCTGTAGGCGCAGGCGAGCTGTGGCTGGCCACAGTGACAGGCAAATCCGAAACCGGATGCCGCCAACCACATATATATATATATATATATATATATATATATATATATATATATATATATATATATATATACAAACTGTGGTACAGAGATTGTGCCATCGGAATCATGAAAGACAGTATGAAAAATAAGAATATGGCAACAACAACAACCACCACCACCACAACAAAAGCCTTTTGTCCAGTTTGCCATCCACAGGTTTTGAAAGTTTGTCAGTTTGCTTTCTTTAGTGGGAGGAAGGAGGGATACTGCAACACACCGATGCACACGTCCGCCATTGAGGTCGATCTTGAGCCATGGCTTCCAAGGTCTTCAGCTAGCAAGTATCCGCATCTCTCGGACCCCAACTAGGGAGTCGACAACAGTCGGCCGAGGCCAACTGTTTCATCAGCTTTTTCATGCGGCTTCTCCACCAGACCGTCTCTCCCAGCCCTGTCCAGCGACCGCAAACGACGAACGACGCGGGTAACGCTGGACAGACAGGCACAATACGTGTCCCAGCCACAGCAGTTGGTGCAATGAGACGAGCTCATCGAGTGAGTGGATTCCTCGTCCCAATACACGCTGTCTAACTTTCACATTGTTTACGTGGTGCTGCCACCACACACGGGCAATAGACCGCGGACAGCGGTGCTCGGAGACGGATGTCCTGCGCAAGTCATCTTTACGAATGGGCCAGGTCTCGCATCCGTACGACAGTACAGTAGGAACAGTTTCACAATAGACCCGCGCTTTGATGGAGAGACGAATGTCGTGGCGACGCCACAAGTGCTTCAGCCTGGAAAAAGCGAGGCGTGCTCTCGAGATGCGCATCGAAATCTTGTCTCCAACAGCCCCGCTAGCAGTGATGCAATTTCCCAAGTAGACCAAACTCTCCACAACCTCTAGTGTCTCACCACCAAGAGTGACTGCAAGCACACGCACCTGTTAGTCTTGAGAAAGCCTTGCATTTGGATGGCGAAAAGTACATACCATACTTTGCGACCGGCGTAGTGCTGGCCCAGCCGTGTCATTTGATGTCCTCCTGGAATGGTATTGTTGGAAATGGATGCAGAATTATCCCCGATTCCCATAAAATAGATTGGAAGAGAAAGCCTAGTTAAGAGTAGCTATGTAGGTGCCATGTGACGTAGAAGGCGGCGTTATCATCTTGTTTCTGCTGTGATACCCGCTTCGATCACGCACGCAGCAAACTGGCAAAAGAAAAGCAAGAATATCCAGGAGATGACCTTTCGTTGAATCTGTCGGTTTGGGATTTCGTCTTATACTGGAAAGGGGCAGCAGTAGACCTGGTGTTAGTGAAACTATACGTGACGAGAGTGGAAGCCTATCCACAACTTATCAAAACGCTTAGAGCGTTGGGCTGAGCACTTTGAAAGGCAATTTAATCGGTCGGAATTGTTAGATTTCTCGCCGACCAGTGATCGCCCTGCTCCGTGGGCTGTTCCTTTGAATCCACCCTCTCGCTCAGAAGTCGAACATGAGATCAAACTGTTGAAGTTAAATAAACCCGCGGGACCTGGTGACCTTCCTCCAGTTCTCTTCAAATTTGGGGGACCTGCTCTTGTGGATGATTTACAAAAGTTACTAAACAAAATATGGGAGCAGGAAACTGTCCCTACCGACTGGAGCCGCTCCATCATAGTCCCAATTTTCAAAGGAGGCTCACGATCGGAATGCGGCAGCCATAGAGGAATCAGTCTGATCTCCATCGCCTCCAAATTGCTTGCCTCTGTCATCCTTCACAGACTGACTGGCACTCGCGAAAGCCAGATTCGCGAAGAGCAAGCTGGATCTTCACCTTGCATCAGTTGTTGGAACACCATCACATATATTGGCGGCCCACCATTGTCGTGTTCCTCGATATCAAAGATGCATTCGATTCGGTGGATAGACATGCACTTTGGGACTGTCTACTCAGGAAAGGTGTACCTGAGAAATATGTGAATATTATCCGAGCATTATATGCGGGTAGCTCGGGCAGTGTGAGGGCTTACGGCAAGTTGTCGTTGCCCTTTAATATCTCCAGCGGCGTGAGACAAGGATGCCCGCTGTCACCTTTCCTCTTCAACTTCGCTGTTGACGAAGTCATGGAAATCGCGTTCACAGGACACGACTTAGAAGGTGTGGAGCTACTCCCAGGGGACGACTTCTTGACTTAGAGTATGCTGATGATATTGCCCTGATCTGTGACAGCTCATAAACGTGCCAAGCGGCACTGGACAGATTAGCATTGGCTGTCCGTCACTTCGGGCTTTGCTTCGCACCCTCGAAGTGCAAAGCGTTTCTCCAAGATTGGTCTGGACCACCTCCTTTGCTGACCCCTGGTGGGGCTCAGCTAGAAGTCGTTCAAAAATTCAACTACCTGGGAAGTTGTATCAGCGCCCGTGGGATTGAAGATGAAATCACGAATCGTATAGCAAAAGCTCGGGGCGCTTTTGCTAACCTTCGCCACTTTTGGCGCCGGCGCGACATCACTCTCACCCTGAAGGGTAAAGTGTACAATGCAGCAGTACGTTCGACCCTACTGTACGGTTGTGAAACTTGGCCGCTTAAAGCAGCGGACCTGAAGAGGCTAGTTACGTTCGACCACCGGTGCCTTTGTAATTTAGCTCACATTTGATGGGAACACCGCGTGAGCAACGAGCGTGTCCGACGCCTTGTTTATGGCACAGAAAAAGGAGATGAACCGCTCAGCACCGTTATTTCACGCATCAGGCTCCGATGGCTCGGCCACGTGTTACGCATGCCAGCCCACCGACTTTCACGACGTGCGTTGTTTGCGCGCCGGGGGTGTGGATGGAAGAAGAGGAGGGGTGGCTAAGCGATGTCTTGGTCGAGAGGAATGAAGGCCCTCACTTCTGAGCTGGCCTCGGTTGGAGCGTCTCGGCTCCTTGGTTGGGGTCCGAAAGACGATGAACACGTTTGGTTGGACACACTTACTGATATGGCTAGGAGCCGACCTCAGTGGCGTTCGTGCTGTGAGTTTATTTGTCCCCCCCATCCCTCTTAGCCTCCCCCTCCAACCACGATCTCATTATTTAGCCTTATATAATTTTGCATAATAATTTTTTTAGGTGCACAGTAGCCAGCTGGTAGCTTACCGGAACGATGCCCATCCGTTACCGGTAGCTCAGCCAGCTTGCACCAGTTGCATTTTTTCTCCTTTTTTCTGTGTATCGCGGCACAGTAGCTGAGGTGTTGCCCACCTCTAGCTAACGTGTATGATGATGATGATGATCGGTTTGGGATTTAGTGGGGTGTTACGATGAAGGGGGTTTTATATAATGCATTAAAATAGTTTGGGGATTTTGTGGATGCTTGATAGACACCGATCAGTGAAGTGAGCGACTTGTCGCCCGGTCGAGATTCAAATCAACACAGTTGATTTCTCCATCGAGGTGGACTGTTTCCCGTGTGGATGTATAAATAAATAAATAAACTTTTTATTCTCGGTAACGCGAGGCACGCCTTTACAGGCATGATCATGTTATGATAACAAAGTGTGAACAAAAATGTACAAAAATACATGTTTGCCATAACAGTGAATGTGTGCGTAACTGTGCATAGGTGTAGCGTTTTAGCTTGTGTTTGTAAGTGTGCCGTTGTATTTGTGACTGTTTGACAGCGTCGGCTAGGTAAGAATAGACGATCGAGCTCCCTAGATTGGATGTAATTATCCAGATATCCAGTTGCACTCAAAAAGTGACCTTGGTATATGTGCCATAGTAGGTTTAAATAGTGCGTTCTTAAACTGAATGTGTTGGGTAGTGGCTAGCCGATTCGTTGTTCGAAATTTCCAAACGAAGTGGATAGCACTGTGTTAGCATTTTCTTGTTAATTCGCAAATGTTTACATACAACCTAAGGTATAATGCAGGCGCTCAGTAATGACACTTCCATTTTGGCTAAATTATATGGAATAGGAAGGGTGAATACGATAACAATTTGCAATCTACGCGATCGTTCCTGTACTTCAGACGCGGTAGAAGTAACAAGCTGTCCCACTTTTCATTTGGGTTGGCTCGAAATTTATCGATGGGTTGTTAATCTATTCGAAGAAAACCATATGCTCGTTAAGAGGTTCGATGCAAGCCAAAGTTTGTTTCAGTTCAGATAGTTGTGGTTCGAGGATGCTGACTGTATCACGTAGCCAGGCGATGAGACCGCAATTACAAGGAGCATTGTCTGGCTATTTTTCGTGTTTTAATAACGTTGGTTGTAGAAAGGATGTCCAATTTTTCGCTTACCGAGTGCGATTAGTTTTAGTCGGAGCCAGCGTAGACTAATATCGTTACGCTGGCGAAACCACCGGGCGCCTGTGCGACCGACTTGGGACTAGAACCAGCGGTCGAGAGATATGACCGGTATCACAGTTTTACCCGCATATTTACAAGTGAAATTTGCTGTTTTAGCAACTGGTACAATTTACTATAAAATCTGGTGCCTTTATTTTGACAGGAATTTGTTTTTATGCACAATATTTAGCACCGTTACTATTACCTTGAGCCGCACGACCTGGTCTGTCACATCCCACATTAGTTCCAGGGTGTAGGTTGAAAATGTCCAACAAAATATCCAGCGGCAACAATCGTTCACACTTTTGCAGCTGAATGCCGCTGGTCTCAGCTGGTTTCTCATCGGGTAAAATAATGGCACACACGCGAACGTTAGACAGCACTTGTCCAAGTCTGCACTCGATCCAGCTCGTTAGCGACTGTGGTCTTCCAGGGTAACAGTTTCTGACTAACACAGGCTGTCCAGGGTGAAATAGACGTGCTCGCGTCCTGAGTCGCTGATTGTAGTAATGTTCCATTTTCACGTTCCTTTATTGTGTGGCGATACGCTTCGGAAGCAGCAACGAATTAAGAGTGCGGAGTTTTCCACCCACAAGCGCTTCTGCTGGTGGCAGCTGATTTGGCCCCTGGAGTTGATCTGTAAAGTAGAAGGAAAACAGTTAGTATTTTTGTGTAGTTCCTTCTCCCCTCAGCTTCAGCAGCATCCGTATAAATGTGTCAACAAAGCGCACCTCTTGCTCACTGGACTAAGGGTGGAACGGCTGCAAGTGTAGGCGTGTGTTACCATTCTGAGTATAGTATTCGGCAAACTGCGAAAAGATGAATTGAGGACCACTTGTTGCATGGTTCATGCGGCACACTTCAGACTACTTGCCGAAAAAAACAACAATAAGATAGGGTTGTTCATTCATTGGACTAAAAATTTCGCGTGTACTAGCTTCCACGGTTTTGTTGTCAGCGGTTAGGAAGACAGTTCCGATTTTCTGGGCGCTTCGATGACAGGCGCCCTTTCGGACACGATATTGCCGGCTGCCCCAGCTGCGAGTCAATAGTTGGTCAGTAAACATAACTTCGCATAATCATTTTATTCCGTTAATGCCAGGGTGTATACGATGAAACTGCTGCAGGATTCTTTGGCAAAGATTCAGGGGAATAACAACTCTTTCGCCAGAAGTAAACCTCCAATGACGATTGAAACTTCGTTTTTCCTTCGGGATAAGCTTTGCAGCTCTCCAGCTACGTTATTCCTCGTCCACAGTGTAATATGGAATTTGACCTCTTGTTGCGGAACGGGATCCAGTATCGATGCATCATGTACCACCCCAGAAGTTACCGGCAGCTCTCTGAGCATTTCCAGAAATACCTGATTCAGTTCCCGACTCAAGAGAGATCGCTGCAAGTATGGATTATTCTTGATGGCGCTGCTCGATTTCCAATGACTGGGAAAGTGCGTCAGCTTGGCCTAAGTCCTTTGTAAAATGCGCTTCAACACAAAGTCGCAGCCGAGCAATGCAGTAGCCCACCGTTGCAACCTGTTTGCCGTATAGACAGAGGCTCGAATTTAACCCGAAAATTGCGAAAAATGGCTTATGGTCAGTAAGAAGTGTAAACTTCCTTCCATACAGCATTTTGTGAACGTTCTCTACCACGAAGACTATCGCCAAGGCTTCCTTCACTATCTGACCATAATTTCGATCTGCGACAGACAGCTATCTGGCTGAGGTGCAATTGCCTTTTCTAAACCACCTGCGAGCTTGTGGGCTGTGACTGCACCAATGCCGAAGTTCAAGGCATCTGCGGCCACCACGATCTCCAAAGTAGGGTCGTAGTGTCAACAAAAGGTCGGAACATAGCACATTCCCCCTCCTCAAATGGTCTCTGGCATTCTTCGTACCAATCACGGAGTTTATCCTGTCAGTAGGTCATTGAGTGGGCCACGCAAGCGATGCATGTGCGGTAGAAACGGGCTGTATTGACTTATGAGTCCCAGGAAGTACCTTAGCGTTGCAACATATTTGGGCAGTAGCACCTTGATTGTTTCGATATTCGCTGGGTCTGGACGCCTGCCGTTCCTGTTGATTATAAAGCCGAGAAACGTAATCGAGCCCATGAAGAAAGTTCACTTCTCAGGTCGGAGTCTGAATCCATATTCCTCAAAACGGCCAAGAACTCGATCTAACTTTTCGAATAGGTCATCAGCACTGCCCCCGACAACAATGATGTCATCCAGGATAGGGTGACGCCCATGCGAATTCTGTCTTCTTTGTTTAAATAGTTTCCATGTGTGACCTCGTGTGAAACAGTCAGTGCTGAGCTGGAAGAAGCGTTGTAACTTACTTCCAAGTTCCCATCAGGTGATGCACCTAGTGTAGATGAAATCACTATGTAGGCGGCTGGAAAACCAAGTAGTAACTGTTGTAGCTGGATGATGGATGGTGTGCTTGTGTCACATCTCGTGGCTAGCTGACCGGTACTGTCACAACTGCCCGTAGAGCGAGGCGGCTAGATGGATGGCGAAAAACCCCAAGAAAGATAGTGACTTTAACGATACTGAAGACGAAATGTGGTGAAGAGGTAGAAACGACAAGCACTCTACGACAACTTACCAGTTAACTTGCTACAGTGGCACGCTGACGAGCTACATAAATGATAAGAAAATGCAGATTGCATCTTGGGGAACATATCGTTGCCTGTGACTGCGAATAATAATAATAATAATAAATTTAGAAAAACGTAATCCAAGCCACAATTGCATATGAACGTAAAAATGATCCATATACCACAAGACGTAACGTGAAATTGAGGAGAATTTGAAGGCGCAACCGTCACAGAAAGCAGCATGTTTCTACATATATGACATCAAGATATTTGTAAATCGCTGATTAAAATAACCATGCCCAAGTTTATTACTTGGATGCTTGGGTGGTAGGTTTAAAAACAATAGCATTTTAATTGCACTAGTTCCTTTAAAATGTGTGCAAACATGGTTCTTCAGTATTTCCCATTTACTTGCACCAGGTTCCTGAGTTATTAGAACCGATACTTAAAACTAACGTTTTATAATAAGAACACTATAATCCAGACTTTTATTTTATACCCTGGAAGCTGCATATTTAATACATTCTGATAACCTGCTATGTCAGTCTAGTTACTCGGTTCCTATCGATACAACCTTCCTTGCAATTTGGTTGGGAAGTTTTATAACGCCGCTGAAAATGAGAGTGCAACTAGGAAATACAAACGGATCAGCTAACTAGGATAGCACAGTAGCTGTTGATTACTACTGTCACGGTTTGTTCATATAAACTTAGATAAGGATTCATATGCAGCTAACTGAAAAGATAGAAAAATCCTGTTCATGTTCTTTCTTGGGCGGATCCTTGAGTCAAGTTCAAGTTCAAGCGGGACTGGAACGATAGGATTATCCCGTGAGTGTTCCTTCTTCGGTGAATCGTTGAACCAGGAGTTGGCGAACTTTGAAATACTGACGGGCCTAAAACAAAGACCGCATGACACCCTGTTCAACCAATTATTGCCCACGTATCCTGCCCTAGCAGTCCCTGCTGGGTCGGTTACGTGAAGTAAGAAAGAGAAAAAAGTAAACGCAGATGGCAAAAGAGAAAGTGGAAAGAGCCAAGGAATTAGAATACCAAGCTATTTGAGTCCTTAAAAAATAGAACTGAAAAGTGATGGTGAGTCAGTTAGGAAAAAGGAAAGGTTTGCTGTTGCCACTCAAGAGCATCGAGCTGGCGTGCAAAACCTTTAACGGTAGGTTCCCTAACCACGTGATCTGGAAGCGAATTCCAGCGATCTATATCTCGGCGCACTAGACGAGTTTCCTTCCAAGTCCTATCCGACCGTGGTTTATGCAGTTTCAGTGGATGACCGCGGAGATTAGGCAACATAGCGGGATTAAATAGCCATGACAAGTCCGGGCCGATCTTACCCTTCAAAATACGATAAGTGAGAATCAGGTCCGCTCTTATCCATCGGTAGTGCATTGAGTACATCCCCCAACTGAGCAAGCGTTCAGGATACGTCTGTCCCCGTAGACCCTGCACTAACCGGGTGCCCACTAGTAACACCCTCTCCAAGTCCATTTTGTCTCGGTTAAGACATGGTGGACAAGCCTGAATACAATATTCCAGGTGGGGTCAGACGGATGCCGAAAATAGCCTCACAAACAACTTGGCCGTTAAGATTCCGAAAGAGCGGCGGATAAACCACATCATACGAAACCCTCGGCAAGCAGCCTTCTTCCAGTTGTCTCCAGAATGAAGTGCTGATGCGTGTACGACTCCTAAATCAACCTGCTGAGTGACAACAGGGAGTTCACCACGGCCGGCAACTTATCGGGTGGGAGGATTAGCAGCTCCGATTCGGAGAACAGAGCACTTGGCCCTATTTATGGGCACCAACCATAAGATAGACCATTCACAAAGCCTATCCAAGGCACGCTGAATTGCCTCAGGACCCCCGGGATATCCACAATATCCCAGAGCTTAAGGTCGTCGGCAAACATTAACGATGACACCCCTAGCTCTCCCGGCAAGTCATTTACATAGATCGCGAACAACAATGGCCCCAATACCGAGCCCTGCGGAACGCCACTAAGGACAGCTTGCCTGAGCGAAAGGCTACGCCCCACCCGTACGCACTGTTCCCTCCCCTCAAGGAAGGCAGACACCCATTGAAGGGCGCGACCAGATATCCCGTAAGATCTCAACTTTAGTGAGAGCCGAATATGTGGGACAGTGACAAAAGCTTTCGAAAAATCTACGAATAGCACGTCTACAGCGTGGCCACTGTCTACCGCTTCAGCTCAGCTTTCCCGGACTACAAGTAAATTAGCCTGACATGTAAATCCTTTGCGGAATCCATGTTGTGCAACAATGAGAAGGTTGAATGGATTCAGGTGGTTCTCCACTGAATCCCTTATCAGCCTCTCGAGCAACTTGACTACTACGCTTGTTAAACTGACAGGCCGGTAGTTCGCGGGTAAAGCGCTGTCACCGCCCTTAAAAATCGGACAGATGATTGCCTCCTTCCATTCCAAAGTTAGGCTGCAGCTGTCTAGCGATAAGGAAAATACGCACGTGAACGGACCACTCAGCTCAGCGGCCAGTTCATGCAACAGCTTCGGATGAATTGAATCAGAACCGGAAGCTTTAGAGGGATTAATTCCTTGCAATAGCTCGAAGACCTGAGCCTCCGTTATGCTAAATTCAGCTAAGCAAGAATCCTCTGGAACTCTTGAAACCAATTCAACCTGTGTTAAAGAGGTCTCCCGAGCAAAGACCGCAGTATACTGACCACTAAGTATACAAGCCTTGTCATAGTCAGTTTACGCACGGGTCCCGTCTGCTCGCAATAAATCTGGTATAGACAGTTTTGCCCCGCTGTGTCTTTTAACGTAAGCAAAAACTTCTTGGGATTAGCTGCTGCCGAGTCCGCTAAACCCTGCTCGTATTGGAGACGAGCAGTTCTGAGATGTTGCTTACATTTATTTCTATTCTCTCGATAACTATCATAGGTACTGGCTGATGGAGCTGCTTGGTAGTTTCGCCAGCATCTAGAGCGTTTCTTGAGTAGGTACTTGCCTGTGGTATCTATCCATGGAGGCTGTGCCCTTAACCCTCTTTTCCTGCTGTGTGGACTATAGGGAGAGGAAACCTCCGTAAGGTATGTCTTAAATTTTTCCCAGGCTAACTGGACAGAGTCAGCCATCGAGATCTCACAGTTCAGAACTGAAGCCTTAGTTCGCATTGCACTAAACTCTGCCTGCCAAATATTCGGAAATAATTCAACAGCGGTCTCTTGGTGCCTTGAAAGAGCACATCGAAAGAATATGCATGCGTGCTCGCTGGACCCTAGAGGTGCACCGCGTTAAACGTCAGTCACGAAGTCCAGGGACTTAGCGAAAACCAAATCCAAAGTAGATGGTATTTGGTTATCCATATACCTAGTGGGAAAGTCAACGAACTGGTGCAAAGACACTTGGAGAGTCAGTTCAAGGAAGTCTGCACCGAATGTTCCTAATGCCGAATTGCAAGAAAGATCGGCCCAACAGACTTCCGGGAGGTTAAAATCCCCTAGAACTAAACACTTATTAGCAGACTTAGTGCGATTAAAGTCAAGTATCCCCCTGGAGGAACTTCCAGGACTTCTGTATATCACTATAACTGTAAACTGGGTAGAGGAAGTGCACAAAACAGCCGATAGGGCTTCAACAGTCTGATCCGACGACTGGAATGTGCAAGTCCTCAACACATTTAAGTTACAGCTCACATACCGTACAACGCCTCCGCCTTGACGACCAACGGAGCGATCAGTTCTAAGCAGCGCGTAGCCAGGTAAATATACCTCAACGTCCGTGATATCCGGAGACAAGCACGTCTCAGGGAAAGCAAGTATGTCGGGACGAGATTTGTCTACAAGTAGACCCAACTCGTGCACCTTGTTCCTTAGACTACGCACGTTGCTAAATACTACCTCAAGGAAGTCGGCACGACCATCCCTGGGTAGTGCGCCATCAGGATTGGTTCTGACAGGGCGGAAAGTAACTTCCGGCTGACCACCTGAAAACCCACCAGACGGAGGTCTTGCTCATCAGCCGCCCGTCTAATTTTGAGGTCTTTGATAGCCTCCATTAACTTCAACCTATCTGCCAGTGGTAGGTCCGGCTGAACGCTGACACCACTAGCCTTAAGTTTGAATGCAAATCGCAGTAACGATTTGCGTTCCTCCGGGGTAGAAAGGACTACGCGGAGTAGTCGGGGTCGTGGATTTGGCGTAGCGATAGGAACGTTCCCCAATCTGGTCAGCTTTCTGACAGTGACACTAGGGAAACCAGGTGGAAGCAGCTTGCTGACACACAGTTTCAGCCACTTGATGTCAGCCAAGATGTGTTCTTTTGGGAGAACGGCCTCAGATTCAGTAACGTTACGGAATATAACGCTACTATCCGTGGAAGAGTGGGCACGACGGGGAGTGTTTACCTCACGTGTCTTGGAGTCGGCACCTATACCAGCTGTTTTCACCACTGGCGGTGGGACTGTCCCTGGCTTCTCAAACGACGCCAAAGCAACGGTAGCGTAGGTTTTCCGCTCTATTGCCGGCGTCTTACTGGTTCCTGGGTCTTCAAGCCCCTTCGAAGTGTTACGAGAAGTCTTGTCCGCTTCTTCTTTTGGCTCACTGGACCAGGGGCCGTTGACTTTGTATCGCATTGCGCAGTTACCAGCATTTCGTCAGAACAGGCTGGTTCACTGGCGGCCGAGACAGTCAGCGTCTGTGAAAAGTTCTGTGTGCAATCGTCAGATAACTTTATGACTGTCAAGGACGGCATCGCTTTCGATGCCGTGGCAACTACTTCTCTGGGTTTAGCAGAGGGATTTTGGTTTTTTCGCACCCTATTTTTCTTCACTTTGGTCGGATCATGGGGACCGCCAGCAATGTTACTTGGATTGGCCGGTAGGATGTGCGACTTTATGACCGAGTGACATACTCCAGTGGATGGATCGTCAGCAATGTTGCCGGCTATTGCTGTGTCTTTAAACGAAATATTTAGGGATTTTAAAATCAAATCCATTTTCGCATCGAGCGACGTAATAGAGGCGAGTTTAGCTATCGCCAACTCAACGTCTGCCAATCTTGAAGCCAACGCTGAAA